ATTTGATATTTTTCATCATATATATGTTTTATTATGAGGATTATTTAGTAGTCTTAGCTTAGTATATGGATTTAGGACTAACCTAAATCTCTTAAACTGGAGAAACGATATGCGATATTATTGGGATTACGGCCGAAAGTATCGCTACCCGTGAGACTACCCAACTAAAGATCATTGCATCCTAACCATTACAAGCAAGAATGGTATAGTAAATCGACTATATTCGGTACTTTGTTAATTTTTAGTTCTGATCTATGTAGGTAGCTTACTTTGATCAGAAAGAACTTAATGATAAAAAATATATAACAATATTATAACTGGAATAACGAGAATTAACATTTACCTGGCTGATTGGCGAGTCTTAGCTGTGGTCTAGTTGAGATCTGAGACTCAACAATAACCTAGTTGAGATTATGAGACCCAACTATGACCTAGGTGAGATCTGAGACTCAAATATGTCTTAGTTGAGATCTGAGACTCAAATATGTTTTAGATGAGATCATGAGACTCATCTGTGACCTAGTTAAGATCATGAGATCCAACTGTGACCTAGTTAAGATTATGAGACCCAACTGTGACCTAGTTAAAATCATGAGACCCAACTGTGACGTAATTGAGATAATGAGACCTAACTGTCACTTAGTTGAGACCATGAGATCCAGCTGTGATCTAGTTGAGATTCTGAGACCTAAATGTGACCTAGCTGAATTAATGAGAAAATAACTTTGTCCTAGCTTAGATGATGAGAACCTAACACTGAACTATCTATAATTATAGAACCTAACACTGAACTACTCTTAATTATAGAACCTAACACTGAACTATGATTATAGAACCTAACACTGAACTATCTGTAATTATAGAACCTAACACTGAACTATCTGTAATTATAGAACCTAACACTGAACTATCTATAATTATAGAACCTAACACTGAACTATCTCTAGTTATAGAACCTAATACTGAACTAACTATAATCATACAAACTAATTCTGATCTAGTCGACATGATGAAAACTAAAACTAACGTAACAGGAGCACAGTTGATTAAGAACTGATCAGTAACTTTACTGGAATGATTAAATTAACATTTAAGGAATGGTCATTATTTATCAGGGAGAGGTAATGGAACTTTGTTAAAAAGTAGCCACCATAACATTCCTAAAATCCAAAACACCGTAACCAGTTTCCCTAAAACTCAAATGCATCACACCACAGCCAGTCCTACCCCTTCTAGTACCCCAGTCTCATGCATCCACACATTTGCTTCCCTTTTTCATGATATTTCTCGAATTTTCCAATTTACAGAGGAACGTGATAGCAAAGAACCTAGTATTATATAGGGTTTAAAATATAAGAATACTCGCAATAACACTACCCAAAATACACGTCTACAAACAAAACTAAAATTCTAGTTATCAATATGATAGATTGTTTGCAAGAGAGTACCTTCACTCATCTGTAATGCTACCCAAAATACACATCTACAAACAAAACTAAAACTCTAGTTATCAATACGAAAGATTGTTTGCAAGACAGTACCTTCACTCATTTGTAATGCTACCGAAAATACACATCTACAAACAAAACTAAAACTCTAGTTATCAATACGATAGATTGTTTGCAAGATAGTACCTTCACTCATCTGTAATGCTACCGAAAATACACATCTACAAACAAAACTAAAACTCTAGTTATCAATACGATAGAGTGTTTGCAAGATAGTACATTCACTCATCTGTCATTCAAGCATAAATGTTTATTACATCATTCATGTCTGCCATTTCATGAAGAGCACTTGATGTTTGTGCATATCAAGTGTCTGGCATTTAAGGAAAGTTATTTTTGGGGACACCCCCTGATTTTTATTTCTTTACAACTTTTCGGACACCATGATGAGTCTTTCTTCAGGTCAAATATTCTTTTATGTAAGCATGTTCACATTTGTAATACATCACTCATAGGTTGAATGTATGAAACACGTTAGCTATCCTTTTATGTAAGCATGATCACCTTTGTAATACATCAGTCATGGGTTGAATGTATGAAACACGTTAGCTATCCTTTTATGTAAGCATGATCACCTTTGTAATACATCAGTCATGGGTTGAATGTATGAAACACGTTAGCGCTATCTTCGTGGTTTGTAGCTCTTAGTTCCAAGAAATTCAAGTATGATTCTGATATAGTTTTAGTTAGGGGTTGAATTTCTGCCGGTACTCAGCGGTACTGAATCCCAGAACTTATATTTCAAGGAGGTACTAGTACCGAGACCTATTTGACCTGCTTTGTCGTTTTTTATGTTTATTCGTATATATTTCTTTTTGCAAAGAAAGGTCCACTTCACCCAGCTGAGCATCTTCACTTTGTTTTGAGAATTTCACCTCTGATTTTAGTCAGTTTAATCACATCGTTAACGTTTTGTAAAAACATGGCAAGTATATTGTTTGTAACGACCTCGAGCTATTTTATTATGAAAACGTATATCTCAGACCTCAGAGTTTATATTTCTTACTTTACGAGACATACATATACGTATTGCTAGTTGTGAAAACATTGATAGAACTACATACCACCCAGTATACTGACTGAGCTCATGTTAATAGTGACCAGAGTTCATATTTCATTTCTTAAAAGCAAGCCAGTTTTCGACAGGTGCTACTTGTCTTGTAACACATTAATCGCATGCAGCTGCTACTTCAAGAAAATTGTTCACCTGTTTAGCATAAATCAAAATAATTCACCTGTTTAAAACAGGAAGTAGTCGGCAGCAGCGAAATCCAGATGTCGTGATGATTAAACTACAGTCAGTCGAAATAATACATGTAGTTGTAGTTGTTAAACTATTTATTTGTTAATGTTATTTTTGCTGAATTTTTGGTATCAAAATGAAGTTTTACACTGGTGAATTTACTTTCAAACTATTAAAGGAATATCAGTATAATATTAGCTGCCGGAGCACTGATAGGAATAAGTATTAATATGACCATTGTAAAAGATCAATTACATGAAAATCAGTATTCTTTGGGTGTTTTTAGAACCATATTTTCAGCGCTCTTCAGTCTGTATGTTGGCTAATGTAATTACAGAACATGTCAGGTCATGACAACCGGAAATGCTATCATTTAGAGATATTTGCAGGGTATTTTACGACACTTTTACGATAATTGGAATAGTCTACAATCATCCATAGGTACCACAAGTTATAATCCAAATGAGTACAAGTGATTCGACTCATTAGTAGACATATTAATTAAAAGACCTGCGTTACATTACCTTCATTCCCCCTCAAATCTCTTTCATTAAGATACCCTTCACATCCTTTGCCCTGAAAATGATGTCATCCTAAATCTCCAGCAATGAAATGAAGCCCTTCTCAAACCCCGTAAACTAAAGTTTGAGCTCCCAATCCCTCCAACCCCCATCTCATTGGTAAATAACGAGCCCTTCCTCTAGGAATCTCAACAGTGACCTAACACCCGCGTGACTAGATTGATAAAATATTTCACAATTAAGGTTTATTAAACCAACCGTGATCACTTCTACAGGCTCAAGAACGTTATTCCGTGGGATCTTTTACGTAATTAGATCTAACACTTTTGCTAAGCCAAATAGTTTTGTGTTTTGTACTAAAGTTGTTTTAAAGATTACTAATAATACTACAGTTTAATATTTTTTTACGTTGTTCATTAACCAAAAGTCAGGCTCGTTCAACACATTAAAGGAGATTAATACTTTAAAAGACCAATAAGGTATTAAAATTTGGCCTCAATACTTATTGTAAGGTATAAAAAATCGTGATGAAAGATTAAATAAATTTGTGTATAATTTATTAGATGAAAGTACTTGAAATGTTTATTACATTTATAAAACTTCTTTAAGCTTTTAGTTTATTAACAGGCAGGTTTAATGACACACTGCGTCATGTTCTATATCGTAATACTATTTTACAGTGAATTAAGGGAAAATAAAAGCTACCTACTCATTTCTACAGGAATATCCTATGATATACGAAGACATGTTCTATATCGTAATACTATTTTACAGTGAATTAAGGGAAAATAAAAGCTACCTACTCATTTCTACAGGAATATCCTATGATATACGAAGACAATTTGGCTTCGTTCGTGTTTATTTGAACGATACGGTTTCTTATAAATCCGTTTGAAGTACAAGAAAATGACGATATATTTTATCTAATTATTAATTTGCTTAACCCTAATGAAATGATCTAATAAATTATCAAAATATTCTGCTTTTACGTAACGAAAGACTTTTTTTGGAGGGGGAGATGAGTGTTAAACCCTTTAATACATGCAATCTAACCCAAATTCATACATGCGCACACATATAACACATATATATATGTATCATTAGTAGTATAGATTAAAAATGGATTAGTAGAAGAAACACAATAACTAACACAATATATTGACATTATGTAATTAGATTTCAAACTTCCTACGGAGACGGCATTTGGAAGGACTCTCATATAAAAATTATCAGGCTACAATAATAGCAATTGCGTTGTAACATTTACGTGTTACGCAAAGTAAAGAATTGCGTCTATTAACGACGTTTCTTAATATGAACAAAAAAAAAGCTTTTAACTGTATAAATGTTTCAAGGGGAATGTACAGTGTCAAACTATAATAAAAGCATCCTAAAAACATCCAGTGAAAGAATTACAATATTGAAATTTAATGACAACATTTCTTATAGCTAAAAGTTCTTGTATAATGGATCTTGCGAAGACTTAGTTTATAAGGACAACTCTCAATAAAATATAACGACGTCGTCTAGCTACAACATACAAAGGAATTCATAGTTAGTACTGTAACAAACGTACCGAGAAAAGAAGAATATATATAACTCGAATCAGCTTCGTTAACATTTTGAGTTGAGAAGCAGCTTTTACGCTGAAAAAATAACTGTGACTTTTCTTTCTGTATTTGTTTATTTTTTATGGGGCAGCAGATAAAATTCAAGTCCCAAACTTACCAACAACGTTTAAACGTATAGGCAGACTAATTTTCGGTTCAGAGCTGACTTGACACTCGTAAACTCCAGCATCTTTCTTCTGGGTGTATAGAATCTTGAGCGTCCAGTCTTCGGTGTCGTCCAGGTGTAGAGATTTGAACCTCTGGTCACTAGTGTATGTATAACGACCAACGGTCAGTATGTGGAGATCTTTCTGACGCACCCAGGAAACCTTTAGAGATGGTCAGATGAACACTTGTCAGAGAATAAATAACGGGGAGAAGCAACATTATTACAATATAAAGAACTAGGTTATCCTGTGATACAGGTGAAGGGTGAGAATTAATGTAGATACGTAGTTTATATACAAAACATGAAGTTATAAGACATGTCTGGAGAAGATAGCAAAAGTACAGTTCATAATATTTTACTTTTTTAAAAGAAGAGTGTGCAGAGTAATGTAATAGAACTATAGTACACAACTTGACGTGAGAAGAGTAGGTCAAAAGAACAACAGGACACAATTGTTTTTCTATTTTTCAATAGACGCGTGGAGAGTAATGTAATAGAACTACGGGGCTAGAGAGTAAGATAGTGGAACTACAACACTGGAGGATACGCCTAGAGAGTAAGATAGTAGAACTACAACACTAGACGATACGCCTAGAGAGTAAGATAGTCTATCTTACTCTCTAGGCGTATCGTCTAGTGTTGTAGTTCTACTATCTTACTCTCTAGGCGTATCCTCTAGTGTTGTAGTTCTACTATCTTACTCTCTAGGCGTATCCTCTAGTGTTGTAGTTCTCGTATCGTCTAGTGTTGTAGTTCTAACTGAACAATAGAATAGAAGAACTGGAGCATACAATGTTTGTTTGTTTGTAATTATGCACAAAGCTACACTATGGGCTATCTGTGCTCTGCCCACCACGAGTATCGAAACCCGGTTTCTAGCGTTGTAAGTCCGCAGACATACCACTGTGCCACTGGGGGGGGGGGGCACATACAATGTTAAAGGATCTACCTGGAGAGTAAGATAGTAAATTAGAAGCAGAAAATTAAATGGTGACATTTTCAAGTAAGCGACGGGACCTACAGGACACGGTGATGAAGGTGAAGTATCTGGAGTGTGCGTCAGGAAAATAACAAGACACAAAGTTGCAGGCTACATCTTGAATGTAAGCAAGGAGAATAGTCCGACATAAGGTTACATGCTACGTCTGGAACGTACGTCAAGAGAATAGTAAGGCTTAAGATTGCAAGTTATATCTGTAATGTAAGTCAAGAATGTAGTAAGACAAGGTTACATACTACATCTGGAATGTGAGTCTGTAAAATAGTAAGAGTTAGGGTTACGTGCTATATCTGTAGAGTAAGCCAGGAGAATAATAAGACACAAGGTTAGATGCTACATCTGGAGAGTAAGCCAGGAGAATAATAAGACACAAGGTTAGATGCTACATCTGGAGAGTAAGCCAGGAGGCTTACAAAACACAATTTTACACCACTTGTTAAAATGATGGCATAAAAAAAGAGGATGAAACATTTATTTGACTTAAAAAATAACATTACATTGAGATACGTTACACAAATAGATTAACAGTATATAAATATATAAAAAAATATATTTGCAAAAGACATTTCTCTCTCTCTCTCTATATATATATATATAAAGA